GAGATGATAAATTTAATTTATAAAATATATTATTTTATTTTTTATTAAAATATTTAAGTTTCATCACTTGATGCATGATCAACTCTAAGATTTGTGTGTTATATCGTTGATTGTTGGGAAAATCCATTCAAGTATCCAACCCTCTCTTAAAGTTAAGAGCTAAGGCCAGACTTTCTTCCTCCTAGCTCAGCTGGTAAGTATAATTGGTTTGGTTAATTATTTTCCGTTTCAGTTATACTACTTGGAATATGTCATAAAAGTACATTAATTATGTTGATTCTCCAGTAGTCTCGCTCTAGTCTACTAGATAGTATAAAATTTTCAGTTTGCCTAAATTATGATCATTAATTAATTTTCTATATATTTAGAGAAAATGTTCTGTTTCTTATGCAGTCTACACATCCTCCTGTATTGCTTCTCATAATAGTAATGTATTATCAACAAATTATAGGTGAGAAATTGAAAATTTCCCATTCCCCATCAGTACTTCTTTAAAAAGCCCTCAAAACATTGCAGATGATATAACTATATTCAGACCCTTTGCTACTATAATGGATCTTCTTGCTGTCTCAATCTCAATCCACAATATATATCGTTAATTAGAAAACTCCCTGCAAGGACTACCATTATTAATGATAAATCCTTAGAATGTGACATGCTATATAGTTTTTATTCAAGTTTTTTTTACTTAGTGCGTTCACTGCTCACTGTTACATGAATTTTTGCTACTATTGTTGAAGAGAATAAGGAAAGGAAATGGAATTTCCACATGTTATTTGATAAATTGAAAAATTAAACTAATTAAAAACTCCAATACACCAAACATGAAGTATAGCACATACCATGTCCCACCACAAAACGGACAAATAAACAAAGCAAAAGCAAATGATAAAAAGCCAACCGAGCCTGAGGCACACTACTTGGCCCTCAAACCTTAGGACTTGGGTAAGGTTGAAGTCAGAGTTTCGAACTCTACTATCGCTGTGAATTTCACCAATTTGCAATTTAATAGCTGTGTGCCTCGTCTGAGGGAGTGAAATGTTCATCATTCTGAGAAATTTCAACTGTTAACAACTAACTTTACTAATTTTTTAATCATTACCCTTGTCAAAAAAAAAAGAAAAAAGCAAATGATAAAAAACGGGTGGTCATGGATGAATAAACTAATGGAAACAATCCCAGTAGTTCATTAATGCACGTGAAGGAGGGATTAGTGAGATTACGACGCGAGTGTTGTGGATTCCAAATGGAATCAATTATTGTTACATATATATATATAT